CACATCTTCTAGACAATCGGCTCACAGACGTCGGTGAAGTCAGCCTTACGCGCCGCCCGCCCTTTACTCCCAGGAAGATTCCTGGTACTCATTTCCGTTAGAGGCTGAGTCGACCGAAGAGCCATAGTGCGGCTGGAAGGATTAGGTCAACTTATTTTGTCTTTTGAGTAGTACATACAGAAATCCTTAATTTCACGTGCAGTTGATACTAATCTAGCCAAGAATTTTCCTTCTTTCACCTATCTAAAGATTCCTTGTGATGCCAACAATAATCCACTACATAACGGTGCACTAAGCAAGCTTTAATAAGATCCAGATGAACTTAGTCCACTCCCTCCCTTTCTGTTTATTTAAGATTAATTTGAATATTAGTCTCCAATCTGTATGTATGTTTCCGTAGAACTTACTTCCTTTCAGCTGTGCGGACTAAAACTTTGTACGCGATCCTCATCTTCCCAGTGATGTGCGCGACCCACCTCCGACTCCATGATTACAGGTAAAAATTACTAAGCTTCTCATTACGCAGTTTTCTCCAGCCACCTGTTACGTCCTCCCTCCTAGGTCCATATACTCGTTATTCGAAATTCCACTGAAATCCGCCACTGTACAAGTTTACCAACGGAACACTTGAAACATTCGAGGAACTGAACAGCTGGCGGTTTAAATCGTGATACAGAGGAACATGACACAATGGCTGACTACCGAGACTGGAGGGAGAGGATGAATCTTGGAATTAAACCATATATAAATTTATTCGTCGCAGTTAAAACCGTTTTAACGCACTGGAATATCTTATGGGCTGTTTCCACGGAAGTGTTAATGTTTCTTCTAATCGGTCAGTTTTCGAGTACTTGGGGTACACGTTCGTATATTTTGTTCTCATTTCGGTGAGTATTTAGATTTTTCAGATAAAGACACGAAATCGCCAGATGCATACTAAGGTTTATTTAGCTTGCTTAAATATATGAGTAAAGAAATGGAATGTTCGAAGTACGTGGTGTGTTCAAAAAGTATCGAGCCTTCTTTTTTTCCCGCGTAAACCAATGAAGCGCGGGAGGCTCCCTTCGGTGGAGATGTGGAGGGGACATTCACGAGCAGTCGTGAATTTTTTCCCTCCCGCAGAAAGCGTCAGTCGCTGGCAGTCGGCCTATGAATGAGGGCGTGTAGTGAGCGCTCGTCGGATTCAAGTAAGGTGTAAAATGACGGAACAACATGAGCAGCGATATTGCATCAAATTTTGCCAAAAGCTTGGCGATACCCCGGTGGAAACCATTCGCAAAGTTCAACAGGCTTTCGGGGACGATGCCATGAGCAACTCACGGATAAAGGAGTGGTACAACCGCTTCAAAGATGGCCGCACATCAGTGGACAGCTAACCGCGTTCAGGCAGACCCTCAACAAGCCGAAATGAGAATGTCATTGAGCAAGTGCGGACTTTGGTCATGGAGGACCGTCGTATCATAGTCCGAGAACTTGCGAACGAGATAGGGGTAAACATTGGATCGGTACATTCAATTTTGACCAAGGATTTGGGCATGAGGAGAGTGTCCGCGAAATTCGTGCCGAAACTGCGCATCTGACTCAGATTTTCGTCGCCAAACAACATTCCTGTGGCTCGTCACGCTCCCTACTCCCCCGACATGGCTTCGTGTGACTTTTGGCTATTTTCCAAGCTTTAAAAATGCCGCTGAAAGGAACATCATGCGGAATGCGACAGCCCGGCTGATCACCATTCCAAAAGACGCGTTCCTGAAGTGTTTCCAACAATGGCGGAAGCGCTGGGAGAAGTGTATGCATTTCCAAGGAGACTACTTTGAAGGGGATTAGGGTTTTGTACCTCCAAATCATTAAATGTATTTCTGCCGACCAGAGGTTCGATACTTTTTGAACACACTACGTATGCATAGAGCAGGTTCGCTCAGCTCAGTGGCAGAAGAAATATCAAAATATACATGTAAGTTAGATATAGCGGGAGTACAGGAGGTCAGATGGGACGGAGGTGGCATCGCACCAGCAGGGGAATATACGTTTTTCTATGCAAAGGGGAATGAAAATCATGAATTAGGTACAGGTTTTTTCGTACATAAGAGAATCGTATGAGCAGTTTATTCCATGTGACAGCACCTTGATAGTTTACAGTATTTCTTTTTAATGTTTTTGAAGGGAAATAGGCTGTCACTCCAACATGGATGCTTCCTGTACTCGCTAAATTAAGCAGGGACTTTTCTGTTTTTACTGTAAGGAATAGTGTATAGTCCAGACTATAATTTTACCTGTGATTCTGTATGGTTGTGAAACTTGGTCTCTGGCATTAAGTAAGGAACATAGACTGAGGGTGCTGAGGAGAATATTTGGACCGAAGAGAGATGAAGTGACAGGAGGTTGGAGGAAACTGCATAATGAGGAGCTTCATAACTTGTACTCTTCTCCAAGTATAATTAGAATGATAAAGTCGAGGAAGATGAGGTGGCCTGGGCATGTAGTACGAATGGGGGCGAAGAAGAATGTGTATAGGATATTGGTGGGAAAGCCAGGAGGAAAGAGACCACTTGGAAGACCAAGACGTAGGTGGGTGGACAATGTTAAAATGGGTCTTAGAGACATAGGATGGGGTAGTATGGACTGGACCGATCTGGCTCAGAATAGGGACCAGTGGAGGGCTCTTGTTAACACCGTAATGAACCTTAGGGTTCAATAAAAGGCTTGGAAGTTCTTGAGTAGCTGCACAGTTGGCGGTTTCTCAAAGATGGGCTCAGCTTCATGAAGTTAGTTTAATAGTGCATGGTCTCCTTCCTTCAACCATGAGCCGGTATAGCGACTGGCAATGGGCTGGACGGCAGAGTGGTCGGAGTTCGAGTTCCGGTGGGGTTAAGCGTTTTCTCCACGTCGTCCAGACCTGTTCTAGGTCCCACCCAATCACGTGTTCAGTGGGTACTGGGGGCTCTTCTCCTGGGGAGTAAAGCGGCAGAGGTGTGAAGCTGACCACTCACCTGCAGCTAGTGCCGGGGTCAAGAAAATTTGTATCTATACATCCACTCCCCCATACGCCTTCATTGCGTACTACTTAATTAGTTAAGCACAGGGATAATTTTACCCGTCCTTCAACCAGATGTGTCATTGCTGCTGATATCACGAGTTAGTTTCTTGATGCTTTTATCAGGAACATTTCGTTTGTATACTTGTGGTTAAATTGTGTTGTCTCTCTTTAGCCTACTGCCCTTATTTGGAAAAAATAAAAGTAGGTTGATGCTGTCACCATGCTGTAGCTGTGTGTCTGTATATCTCCACACATTAACTTTCGAATGGATCAGTCATTATGAAACTTGGAGTATACACAGTCTGTCCAGGTTCTGTTAGGACTGTGTTCATTAAAAATACAAGACGTGAATAAGTTTCAAAATTTCACACAATTTTTATTCAAAATAGATTCCTGAATGAGTACATAGCTAGAATCGATTGGAAAGTTTTCGAAAACAGTCACTATACTCCTTTTGTGGAATCGCATTTAAAACTGTGGTAGATTCCCTTTGGATGTCCTAGATGGTGTGACGGTCTCCTTTCATCGCCAACTTAACTTTTGGGAACAACCAGAAATCTGCTGGAGCCAAATCTGGCGAATACGGAGGATTATCAAGGACTGCGATCCCTTTCCTGGCCAAAAAATCGCGCACAGACCTTCCGTTTGCCCAAATCCTCGGTCAAAATTTGATGCACAGTACTTTTTGGTATTCCCAAAAGCTCCTCGATGAGTCTTGCAGAAACACATCTGTCTGATGCAAGGATTTAGGTCACTTTTTTCACATTTTCTTCAGTGCGACTTGTTCTCGGCTTTGATGCACATGGAGCGTCTTCAGTGTCCTCCCTGCCGTCACGAAATACATCATACCATCGAAAAATGTTCGAGCGACTCAAACATTCACTACCGTACACACTTTTCATCATTTCGTACGCATCTCCGGCTGTTTTGCCTAACTTCAAACAAAATTTGATGTTGGCTCTCTGTTCAACCACCATTTTCCGACGAGCGTCAGAACAGTACTGTTACATTCAAGGTCAGAACACATGATGCAGCAATGCTTGCGCTTTGAAATTATAGACAGTCACAGCTGGAACTTCAAGAATCATAACGCCACAATTCGACAACAGATGGCAGTTCAGGACAGAAAAAAAAAAGAGTCTTAACGGATCCTAAACACGCCGTGTATATCATGCCACTTGACCCATCTCAACGGCCTACTTCATAAACCCCGCCCGTCTCTGTGACTGTGTATTCCCCTATCGTTGCTAGACAACGGCTCGGTAGAAACATTACGGCGGCATCGAATAAACAGCAGTATAATTCTTGGACGCGTTTTCTGTGCGGTCTGCGTCATGTCAAAAGAAGGTAGGCGATTAGTTCTTCTGAGAACTTCTTGTTTCACCTAACCTTGTATTACGTATTTTGGTGTTTGCCTGCAGTAGACCAATGTTGCTGCAAGCAATCCCAAATGTACTACTACTACTACTACTACTACTACTACTACTACTACTACTACTACTACTACTACTACTACTGTTACAACTACTGTTATTTTAAGGAACTTGTGTTTAAATTTACATGACATCAGTTGATTTAGTTTGTTCTTGTTTGTGTTTGCTGGTGTATGTGTATTATTTTGTATTCACGCTAACTCTTGAATTGACCCTTGAGTGCTGAGTTCAGCGCGTAAATCAATAAAAATTATTAGTAGTATAATGCTTCCGGCAAAGGTCGCCGAAATCGGGAAGAAGATTGGAGGGGGAGGGAGAATGTGAAATTACGCAAGCAGCTCATAGCGCTCCGTTGCGTGGGACGATGCTAAATCGTCTCACTGTGGGCATGCTCCCCAGTATTCATTGCTAATCTGTGTGACGTTGGGCTCGGGTTCGCTGTTGTTACGAAAATCGACACACAAGTGGAGGCATTTCCGGTCTGGAGCACCGCTGGAGTTATGTAAGTGTAGAGTAGGCAGTGGTTTTGTTGGGTCTGCAGCCTGTTGTGTTGAGCACGTGCAAATCGTGTGAATCGAAAGGAGGGAGTTGCGAAACCTGCTGGCCACATGTAGAACATGTCACAGTTATTAACGTGCCTGCTGTTCAACGCAGTCTTTGTGCGCAGTTGAATGTTAAGTCATCTTTATGCACAGAATTGGATACAACGCCGTCAACATTCACAGAACTTGCATACAGCGCACAATTCTGCACGTTACGGACATAGTGCTTATGAAAAGCTTAGTAACCGCGCTTTGTGGGCATCTCGTATAAGTGTTGAATGTGCTATAGTTGAATGAAGTTTGATAAAGTTCTGTATTAGAGCTTATTAGAAGCCTTTGTGAAGTGAATATTACGGTCTTCTGGGATGTGGCGCTGTGTAATCTGGTAGTTGTTTGTCTTCATCTTCGCAACAGAAGAGTTAATGAATATTCCTTCGGGCCGCTTCAGTTAAGTAGTTTCGGAAGACCTAAATAATGTAAGGAGTTCGCTGCAGTATGCTGTAGATAACTACAGGTAGGAAACAAAAGAAAGTGAGAACCTGTCAGTAGACATTTTTAAAGTACCAGGCGTGATAGTTTATATGTACAGTGTAACAAGAACTGTAACATCAATTTGTTCTAATTTTCTCCTTAAATTGACGTTTGAATGTAGAATTAGTAAAACATAGTAGGACTTTTGTTGACGTTACAGCGGTTGACTAGTCGTGAGAAACATTCGTAATGTGAATTAATGTAAACTTAATTATCTCCCAAACGTAGAATTTATTCAAAACATTTTAAACATTTGAGGAAATTAAAGCGTGTTCGTAGGGATCAGCAGTTATGTATTGAAATTATTTTCATTGGTTGCATCCTGTTGTGTGTCTCAGACAATACAATATATATAATATGTAGGAACTATGTTACCGTCAACACAACAGATATTTCAGTATTACATTTAGATCTGTATGTACTGCGACATGTTTCGGGCATACATGACTACATGACCATCATCAGGCAGGAATACGTATACTTACTGAAATGCCGATATGGATCTACTCAAAACCACCGCACAGTGTAGAACACACCGTACACATTGAACGTGTATACACCCAGACAAGAAACACACCACATTGCAAGCTTTATATATAGGATACATGGCATGGGAATTCCATACCAAATACCCACATACCATCAAACTTGTACATCATTGAAACCCGTCTTTGGGCCTCACATACCGGACTTATTACATAGAACTTCTGCAACAAGACGTACACAACATACACACCCACTTCTACACTGTAGCAGGATATCCCCTTAAAATATTTTAGTTGGCATACAGATTCCTAACCCCACATATATTTGTTAATACCTTTATATACTTCTAACTTACCTTTAATATGTTTTAATAATATTTAAACGTTTTATATATGTACACATTTATCTTTTTGTCTTTATTATTTTTGTTCTTCTTCATGTATTTGCTATTTTAACTATACACTAATCTGAGGCAAAATTTTTATGTTAACATTTAATACGACGCGTTGCGCCGATAAGAATCCGTATCGGTACCTCAATAACTATGCGTATTCCTGCCTGATGATGGTCATGTATGCCCGAAACATGTCGCAGTAAATAAAGATCTAAACGTAATACTGAAATATTTGTTCTGTTGACGGTAGCATAGTTCCTACATATTGTATAATGTATTGAAATGCGATGTAGTAATTACGAAGAAAGTTCCGCCTGCCAACTAGACAAAAAGAAACCGATGTCAGATGAAAGTAAGGCCTGTATTGTACGAACTCTTCATAACCACCGGTGTGAGGACCTCATATCCTACGTACTGTATGTTTAAAAATACATTGTCTTGCGCAATCAGTTATTCACTCTTGTGTAAACAGTTAAACTAAACACGTGCCAAAGCATCGTGGGTGCGAAATAAAAGGTGCGCAAAGCCTGTTTGAAGGTGCCAAAGCATCAGGAGCAATTTGTGCTAGTGTACCTACTTTTTATTGTTTTTCATTATTACCTCATGTAACTGTTGCACACGGCCATAAAAATGGCGTGGACCGATGATGTGTGGAGGTGTCCAGCATAGAAATTAAACTTCGAAGTCATGTTTCCGAATTCTGTGGGACAGAGTTTTTCTTGATAAATTGAATGTCATTCAGCTAATTAAGACGATTTTTGCATTACATGAAATCTAGACGTTCACAGGAGTTCACCACCGGACGCTATCCTGAGTCATGTAGGTCTAAGTAAGCCCAAATTCTAATACATAGTTACAGTACCCGTTTTAATATTATCTTCATATTTATGTCTAGGGCTTCTAAGTAGTATTTCATCTTCTGCGTTATCTTCCGTGACTTGATTACCGAATCTTTTCGTCAGTTGTATAAATTCCGCTCGGGCCGAGTCGGTACGGAATAACCGTTACATTTTTGTTTTGTTTTGCGGTTTATTTTGTGCCGCTTTAGCATTTCAGACTACACGCAGCGTTGAATGGCATAGCATGAATAGGAAGGGATTTGGTATTATCGCAGTACGGACACCCTGTGTCGCTATAGCTATTGTTCCTGCCGAGATTTGAACCGAATGCATACAGAATACAAGTCCAGGCCACTGCAAGTACCTGCTCAATACTGAGTGTGCAGGAAATGCTTTGTGTGCTCGCGCTCGCCTGTATACGTGTATGTGTATATGTATATTAGGAGCCGGGATAGCGTGGTCGGTATAGCGACTGGCTACGGGCTGGGCGACCGGGGAATAGGAGTTCCAGTCCCGGTAAGCTCAAGAATTTTCTCATCTACACGTCCAGACTGGTTCTAGGGCCCACCCAACCTCCCAACCAGTGGGTACCGTGAGTAAAGCGGCCGGGGCGTGAAGCTGACGTCTCACCGACTATAGCCGAGGGTTAGTGCAGTAGTTAAGCACAGGAACAGCTTTACATATTTATGC